CCAGGATTTATGGGACAACCTAAGAAAGTTAACTTTCCATGGCAGTATGTGTCAGTAGATCTGCTTGGACCTTTGCCTCGTTCTAGAAATGGATTTTTATATGTTCTATTAGTCTCGGACTACTTTTCCAAATTTTGTCTAGTTCATCCTTTGCGTCAGGCAACAACGCCCCAAATTGTGAAATTCATCGAGGAACAAGTTATTTTGATATACGGTTCACCACAAGTCTTGGCTTGCGACAATGGTGTACAGTTCACCAGTAACGCCTTTAAGCAATTAGCTGATAGGTACAATATCAAAATTTATTATAATGCGCGGTACCACGCACAAGTAAACGCTGTTGAACGTGTCAATAGGGTACTAGAGACTGCTATTCGATCTTATATAAAGGATAATGACCATCGTGAATGGGAAAAGGAAATCCACAAGATAGGTTTTGCACTCAGGACAGCCGTTCATGAGGCAACTGGCGTTAGTCCTACAGCCCTTAATTTTGGTCGATATGTTCCGGCTAAGGGAGATTACTATGGTAAAATCGAATCTGCATCAGACTTTGACTTGAATAATATAAATCGGTTAGATTACCGTAACGATATAGAGCAACTTCCTCAGATGTATATTGAAGCCTACGCTAAAAATTGTAAAAGTTATAATCTGCGGAAAAGACCCAGTGACGTGTATCACCTTGGAGACCGCGTCTGGAAAAGGAATTTTGTGCTTTCCAATAAAATTGAAAACTTTGCAGCCAAGCTCGCACCTAAGTTTACTCTCTGTACTGTGAGAAGAGTAATTTCGAGATTGGTGTATGAATTGAGCGATTCGGAAGGAAAGAATATAGGCAAATTTCATGTGAAGGATTTGAAGCCTTATCATGGATCTGAGCCACTATCTGAATAGGTACCGGTGTGTGTATGTATGAGTGTGTGAATGTGGAAGCGAATGTTGAATGAAAGCAGGAGTGATTGGAAGTAACACTTCCGATAGTTATTCATGGTTTGGTATCATGTTTCGCCCAAGTTTCTGCCTCCGGAGTCCAATGCTCGTTCTTGAAAGACAGCTACCTGGAAAAGTAGAAGCAACCCTTTTTGATGGAATGTCTCTGCCATTTGCGGTGGAGCATTCAACCCCAAGGATTGGTGAGTTTGCCAGTCATGGTAAACAAACCAGTCTGATGGCTGTCTGGTCTGACCAGATTAGCTATACCTTTCATGGTCCTTAGTGTCGTGTTAGATGTGAGTCTACCGACCAATTATTTAAGAAACCTAATTTTGCCCAGGCTGATAAAATTTGGAAAATATTGTCGCTCCGACAATATTTCTGTAAGGAGAGGGGGTGTGTAACGGTCCAGTAGACTATTCATGTCTACCTGTCCATTACAGAAGTATTCCACTCACAATATGCTACCGAACAAGTATTCTTCATCAACACAATCACCAAGAACAAAATGTAACTGTTTTCAATAACCAAATATTATCAGTACCATAGAGAAAAACCCAAAGTCAGTACCTTAGTAAATAAATTCCTATTCGCGTTGGACGTCCTTCACACTGTATCAGCACGTATTTAATATCCAGATGCCACCTGTAAAGGATTTCATTTCATGATGTGTTTTCAAGTCCATGTTTATTTTTGGTAAACAGTACAATACTCGCGATCAGCTGACTGAGCCATTAACCTCGAACCTGATTCTTCGTTTTAAATTTGCACGGCCTCAGCGTAAAAATTACTTTTACCTAATTAATCATTGGCAATAGTGAACTCTGCACGCTCTTCAAGCACTCAGCCTAGTTCACACCACACTCGATAACCTGAAACGGAACGCCGTTCCGAAATGTCAATTACAACTTGTAGCCTATTGTAATAGGGATTCTTTGAGAGGATCGAGTAGTGGAGGAATGAAACGTTCTCTCTCTAATGGCGCTTTGCTGTGTTAGCATGCCACCTTTTGAGCTGAAAATTATTGTTTTCGAAAGGCACGTCCATTTATGATGAAGGCCGATTTACAACTCTAGGCAAGTTACTGATATATTTATTTTCAAAATTATAATAAATTATGTATCGAATCATATCGGAATGTCTTGAAAACACTATCATAATGATTTCATTTCAGGCCTTCAACCTTCACCTTTTTTTGTCACATGGTAATGCCATGAAATCTTTATGTGCTATTTAAAGGCGGCTGCCTAATTTTCCTGAGCCATGTATTATATTTATTAATGCTTATGGGGCAATAATACATTTTGTCTCTCCAACTGGATTCCTCCGGATTTTGTATCTCCGTGATGGATGTCGGTGAATAAAATGATGTTCACCTTGTATGTTTTCCTGAACCAATGCTGAGAAGGTACCCAGGACTAATGGATTATGGATTATGGAAATTTCAATAAAACCACTGTAATTTTCTGGAAATATTTGGTAGTGGCTACATTACAGTAAGACTGGTGACTTACCTACTGTAAGTAGATTTTTCATAAAAATTTCAATCGTCAACGTGATGAGAAGAGGAGCCTCCACGTCTGATTAGTATTTATGACATTTCAAGTTCAATATTACTCTCTCCTTTCGTGAGAAACGGAATATCAGCGCTGATAGTTCATTTCATAGGGCCTTGTATCTTTTTCTAAATTCATAACACACCTTTAGGACATTCATTCATTTCATTTGCCACTGAAAAGCCACAGTGAGGCTAAATTTAAGATTTCTAGTAATACTAACCAACATTGACTAAAGTCAGATTGTTCAAGGAACAACTGTTGCAATTATTCATAAGCTCACTAATAAATTCAGAGATAAGTACTAGTAATATTGTAGGCTTTAAAGGTGATGGTTCCCATTTAAAGTTCACTTGAATATTGATACTGTTTGTAAGCAAATGTAACTATTATTGCTGAGTATCTATTTATTATATGCATGGTTCCGGAACAACTCCTGTTGCATTGATATTTTTGTTTTGTCCCCTCCCTACTCCTTTCCCAGTTTATGCTGGGTGGCGCCCACACTATCTTGTTTTGATAGTTCATGAAATTGAAATAATAAATTAAAACTTGACTTAGTCGAATCCACGACCACTCGCCTGACTCATGAGCTGTCGAGCATTGGGACCATAATTTCTATTCTGTGAAGTTACGTCACATTCGTTTTGTCCTTTGGCATAATCTTTACATAAATCACAAGCATGTTTTTCTAAACATTTTTTAATAAAGTAACCACCTATATACACAAACGCATTTTTTTCTGTGATATTCAAATCCTTGTAATCAGTTGTATATATTTTGAGTGGAATTAATACATCTGTTATTGACAATAAGACTGAGCTGCTTTCTATGAGTTCTGGTGTTAATAAACCTGAAATGGAATCAAATTCTTCCAGACAATCAGCTCCTTCAGGGCTATCGAAATGATTCAAGGAAAACATCTTCTTGGAAGTTCTTTGAAATTGGATTGGAGTAGGATTCCTACAATTTCCATTTTGTTGGCGTACCTTGCCAAAAAATTTTTCTAAACAATCCTGATTCAAACGTTTAGTATGAATTTTATGGATTTCTTCACTTTTCAATACACCCCATAACCCAATGAAAGCAGAAATTGATGATTTCCAGCCTTCAATGAAATTCATTTTATTCGTCACATTTACTCCCTTTTCGTTTTTTACAATTAATGTTTCAAAAAATTCCATCATTTCATTTAGAAATTTTCTTTGAGAATCAGTACCCATGAATGGCCTATTTGAGAATTTACATCCTGAAAATTTGGAAGAATTGAACATATCAAATAGTTTTTTCATTTTTTCAATAGAATTGATTGTTGCTACAGCTGCTGGGGGTAATTGACCAAATGACAAATATGTGTTTAGTGCAGCAGTAACTGTGGCACTAAATACCTGTGCTGCGAATTTGACTTTCATTTTCTGAAAATTATTAGGAAATATGTGCTTATCTGTCAATGTTGGTGCCAATCGAAATTTTTGTTGTTTATCAGCTGCGTAAAATGTCTCTAAGTGTTTTTTACTAGTCATTTGGTCATCGACTACAAATGCATGTTTGAAGAACATATTTCTTGTTGATTTTAATGAATGTGGCACATCAATCATGTAGAATATCTTTGAATTCTCATGAATAAAATAAGGTTGGGTACATGATACATTGAGTATTTTTATTAATTTGTGAAAATTGGCACCGCGATCTGATACAACAGATAAAACATTCAACCCAATACTTTTCAGTTTTGAGATGGACTTGAAAACAATGTCTTTCAAATCTTCCACACAACAGCTTGAATTTACGAAAAAGTATGCCAAAGGCTGCTTCCAATTGGAGGTAATTCCTCTAGCCATGAGAACAAGAGCATGATTTGCTGGTTCAAATGATTTTTTGGTATCTGTTTGATGAAATCCATCAATTTCATCTTTGGATAAATTATAAAATAAATTAGATTTCAGAGACATTTCATCTACACACAAAGAACAATCTTTGTCTTTTTCAGACAATAAAGATGTTTTCATTTTGATTACAGAAAACAAAAATTCACTGAACCCAGAACTGATATCCCATTTTTGAGTAACTCTACATAATGTACTCTTTGAGGGTAAATGAAATATTTCAGACAAGAATCTATGAACTTTTGGGCTCAAAAAATATATTGTGAGGGCAAACTGTTTGTGAGTATTTGAATACCTAGATCATTTTGGTGACTTTTTCAACAGAGCTAATTGTGTTTCTATGAAATTGATGATATTTGATGAAAAATGCTCTCTCAGGAATGAAGAGACATCATGAAAAGAGACATTCGGTTTCTTGCTTGACGTTGAGGCATTGGCTGGGGACAAAACATTTCGTTTCAGCCCTATGATTTCATTCTTCATTTTTAGTTTCCGTGGAGTTTCACTACTCAATTTTGTGGAGCATCTAGAATAAGAAATCATCTATTATTGAAAAACCAACAAGCTGATTCAATTTTCAATATTTGGAAGAAACTGCAACTCAAGAGGTGCTCAGCCTAATTCAATAGTTATAGGGTATCTTGTAAAATTGAATGTTACCTGTGATTTTGGATGAAGTACTTGGAAAAAGTTCGAATGGTTCTTGTGGTGGTGAAGTCCCTACCATATCTAGTCCAATTGGTTCATCGATGTCATCTGAAAATATCAGAAATCTTGAGACTTATACTTTCAACTCTTCTACATTAATCAGATATATGAATAATTCATTTTTATTCATCATTATGAATATTTTCCAAAACTCAGTCAATCTAATGCTACTCATCAAATTTCATCAGTGATTTTCATCCACTTTTTATCACTATAAGCTTACTCACCGTTAATTTCCTTATGTTGTTCAGCTATTGGACAACTTTCGTGAAGTGGTGTTTGTAGAGATACTGGCTTTATGGTCGAAGATACTGGCGACAGGGGACTCTGCAATGCTGGTTCATCTGAAAACAAAAATTTATTCATTGAAAATATGGAAATATTTGAATGATGAAATGAATATTTCAAATGATTATCAGAAACAGATAAGTATTCATCTGTTATTGTGAAAATACCTTCCAAATCTGTATGATGTGAAGTAGACGCCTCGGTTGATGTCCTATCAAAAATCGTTGGTACAGCATTCTTATTCAAACGGTTTCTTTGTATACTGAAATACATTCCATCCTCAAAATGTTCACTACATAATCTGAAATTTTGGTAGCAATATTCTGAACTGTGAGATTCCAAAGTTTCAGAACTGATACTGGCTCTCCATAATGAACATCTAAAAACAAATTGATAGGATAACTTTATGATTTATGACTTGTACAGATAATCATACCTTTCTTGTTCTTTAGGAAATCTGACGAAACTCAAATGAGGGTAATTCCTGGAATTCTTGTTGGTTTTGACTTCGATTCTTTTGAAACTCATCTTCGACACAGTTCTTATCACAATTCGAATCACTCACTTGAATAACGAATAACGAAATCAGACAAACAAGACTCTCAAAACTTATTATGTTATAATATAAACACTCGTGTTCGGATTTTCAGAGTAAGGTAGAATTTGTTGGTTAGGTTAGGACGGTAGGAGACAGCGTTGCCAAATCATGACAAAATACTGATTTTTCCATCATTGAATACGAACTAAATATCAATGGGAACGGGAACATTGAGGGAAACATGATCCGAAATCAGATGAGAATCTATCAAAAAGCAACCTGGGATTCATTAGCCATCTTCATCAAAATTGTGCCATAATTTAGAAAGATCTCACATTCAAAGAAAAAGGTTGCATGGATGTCTATGAACCTTCCTTGAAGATCTGACAAGTACGCAGAGCATTCAATCTATTCTACTGCGCATCCTGAAATGTGATTCCAGGAGTTGGTCACGCCCATAATAAAAAAAATAATACCTTGACCACATATTTTAGGGAAGTGCAATCACTGTCTCTTTAGCAATGAACTGTGGCAGCAGCAAGTGATGGAAACGACAGTGCAGGGTTGCCGGACGTTGCGCGCGGTGCGCTGCATTGTTGTCGGACGTTTGAAAAAATCGGATATTGCTCTGTGATACATACATAGACCATTTGAAGATGTGTTACGTGTGACCCTTAACAGATTCCGTATGACAGATGGCATTCAACATCTGACATATATTTTGAATGTGTATTATGATTTTGAATACAAACGCATAGGTATTGAGGTTTGACTTTCAACGTTTTTGATGAATTGACGTTTCGTCGTTTTGACGTTTCGTCGTTTTGACGTTTCGTAGTTTTGTCGTTTCGTCGTTTTTATCGCTCCCTGTATATCCATCGTCAAGAATAAATATGAATTTCATACTTCTGGAACTACAATCGTTATTTTTTCAATTTTATAATTTATCTTAACGAAAATGCATCATTTTGATTAAAAATGCGTACTTTCATTATATGACCTTCGATCCAAGAAATTACAAAAACATTCCGAGGTCAGACACCATGCAGCCCTACTTTTATGAAAAATAGGTGCATTTGCGAACGGCAGCTCTTCGTCAGTAGGCACTATGGGTTCGAGTTATCAAAATGAGTTAAAATAGCAAAATTTCAGTTATCTAGCAATCATAAGGTTAAACAGAAAAGATGGGGCGCCACTGCAACTTTCAATTCAAAAGAAAAGTTACCTGGAAAGTTGAGCAACCAGATAATGAATAATATTAGTTGTTATCCCAGACTGAAAGACCTAAATTTACCTTATAGAGATGTTGTGAGTTGGAGTGTCATGTCAATAAACAGATAAAACAGTCATATAAAATACCCAGAACATTTAATTTTGATGATAGGACTCATATATCATATCACATGGTTTTGACAAATATGCATAAATCAAAAGAAATTTAGATACTTATTTCCTGTTAAGAAATTACACTGTTGCCTGCTATTATGTGGATGCAAATATATATAAATCAACTTTATATTGTACTTGAAGAGCTCCTGTAAGGAGGTTTTATGGGCATGGCATTTAAAAAAATATTGAGAATGGAAGAATTCTACCAGCGCATAGTATACTATGTGGAGGGGAAGTATGTACCTTTCATGTGTGATTTCATCAATTTTTGACCTAGCTATGATTTAAAAATGGTCCATTATACACACTAGCAATAGGCATTATGAGTGAATAAAAATGAAAAATAAAAATATATTTTTATGTCAAAAACCTGTATGGTGTGTCCTACACCAGTTATCCTTGATAAAAATGGCTTCAGTGCCACCAAATGAAGCTTCTGAGGAAAAGATTGGTGGAGAGCGGGGTGCTGACTTCACATCCCTGGATGTCAGATGACATTGACAGACTTGTCGTTTTTCCACCTTGGAAATCCATCATATCAGGAACAAACAGGGGACGATATCCAGATTCCAGACTATCATACAGCCACTGAAGGCCTTGTAGAATTGACAGATCCTGGTCGAGCAATTATACTCCTGGAAAGAATAGTGCTCCTGGTAGGATAACTCCCGTTGTAGAACTCCCGGTAAAAAACCCTTGAATATTTCATGAAAATGAGGTTCTGAATTTCTGGACTGGCAGAAAGAAAAAACGTAATAATGCGAGACTCACCTTCTATGAAGGGTTAGGGATTGAAATGACGATGAAGGTAGGCACGTGGCTGCCTGGGTGATGAACCATGAAGATCCTGCCTCTTAAAGCAAAACCAGAGTCCAGCAGTCCTTGTAGATCAGCAGCAAATCCAGGATATCCTGATGTGATCCAGAACGCCAGGCGATACAGGACTTCAGAAGCCGGTTCACACCACAAAAATGGCACTCGACCACCACGAAGAATTTTCTGAAGTGAGCTCTTCTCTCAAGACCAGAAAGGAAATCCCTTCTCCTTTCCAGAAACTTCGAGAACAACTTAACAGTTATGACGTCACACCTTTCTTCACGAATACTCGGCCTGTGGGTTCGACGATGATGATCTAAGGACATATCAATCCGAATCGGCGTTTGGCGCATGACAAGTTTGACACTGTTGACATGGTGTCATGACCGACAGCTAATTGACGTTAAGCGAAATAACAGATCAACAAAATCAAAACATCAACCTGAATTTATCAAATGCATCAATCAAGAAAATAATGCAAAACGAAGTTTATTGATTCAAATTGATCAATTCCTAGTGAAACCATACGCCTCAGCATTCCTGGAAAATCCAATACCTATCGTCCTACTGTGATGAAGTTTCAAGTGGAAAAAGTAGTGTGAAAAGTGAGTATGAGAATGTCTCTGAAATGGTATTTCATATTACTTTATATCATTTATCTCTTTCAGATAAGTTCCTGTAAAAACCATCTGAATCATCCTTCTACTTGGATCACAACAAAGCAGATATAGCAAGAGATATCAATGTATTTATAGAAATTGTATTTTTATTATATGTACAGTGTGAAATCTCAGGTGTGTATCCACATATCAGGTTTGAGAATGATTAAATAATATGAAGCAGATTGAGTTCAATTTATGTTATTGAAAAATCTTAACCATGTTATTGTGACAAAATATCCTGTCAGATGTGCTCAGCATTACAGAATATTATAGAATCAGACAAAATATACAGTAATGAAAATTTACATGCTACAACCAGACATCCTCATGTCGAAGTAACACTCCATTATTCCTCTAGTAACACAGAGAAAACTATGTTCTCATCTACTGAAGACTAAGTTATTGTCCATCTCATCATTCAGTATATCATGTATCACTTTGTATAGACTTTTTCAGAATTTTCTGTGTTCGAACACAATCACATATCCGACGACTATACATACAACGTTGATTCTTCGGAGAAGAATTTCAACTTTCAATTTCATTCAATTAATCGTCGGAAAAATGCAACATTCTGAATGAATACACGATTATCAAAGCTCTGGAATTGAATATTCCGAGAATGTTCCGAGAGAAAGCATCAATCAAGAGGATACAGGTGAGAAAAAAAATTTGAAAAATTATCTGGTGACGACCACGATGCAATTTCATACCTATTCAATTATCACCCTGTAGCAATGTTATCTGAGATAACAGAAGTTTCATATTGCCACAACAAACTGTCAAGAGATTAGGCTTATCATCGGTGAAAACCGATTTCAAATTGGTGGGGAAATTAGTGAGTTATTCTACTTTGAATTCAGGCTATATTTTGGAGAACGACGTTATCAATGTTGACCAGTTTATTTGCACTTATTTCAATGCCACCCTGTATATTGGGATTGGGAATGGATAAGATAAGGAGGAAGCAATAAAAAAATTTTATTCAATGCCTTCTAATGCCTTCCACATATTTCACAATGTAATGTTAATGTTTCAAATAATAGCTGATTCTTCGATCCAGGAGTGTTGTTTTTCAGGAAATTCAAGCCATTTGACATATAATTTGCAACCCTTCTCCTTTTTTTTCAAGACAATCTCCACCAAGTATGTGTCAGGATTATTAGTTTTCATCAATTCCAATTCATGAAAGCACCCCTGAATAGGAGCGCCCTCCATATCATATGGAAAAGCTGCCATCTGTCCAATGATGCGCTCGCATTTCTGTTCGATGAAATCCGTTATGAAATGGGTGGCGAACAGGTGGTTATGATTCGAAAACTGGGCTTTACCACTACAATGAAGAGTATGATATCTCATGGTGAGACAAGCAACAAATTTTTAGACACGGTTGGATGGGGTCTCGATGAAAATAAACAGGTGATTCTAGATACATCCAGTCATACATTCAGCGAAAAACTACCGCTCAAATTTTCAATGGAGTTTGCAGAGGACTATAATAAAGGTATTCTGAATATACAGCAGGAGCTTATACTCATCATAGCACGCTCATTCAAAAACTTCTATATGGGGAAAGTTGATGCAAATGTGGTGATCAACAAAATCGAATGAAAGATAAGGCATCTGATGCCGTTTGATAGGCAGAAACTGAAGTTGTTGAATCGATTCAATAAAAGTTCTACAGCAAAAATCAAATTAGCATACAGAATGTGGGATTTGTATGAGTTGCCAGCAATTCGTGAAACAGCTTCAGATATTTGGGCTATCAAAACAACTAACAGCCTCGAGCGCCCAAGCTACATCATTATGGTTTTCAAAGCTCCGATAATACAGATGATGGATACAAGGACGCTACGAATATCATTCACGCAGGAGTGAATAATATTCGCCTTTACTTGAATTCAAAAGTGCTGGAATTTGGATTTTGACAGAAAGTTAGATGCTGTGGCTTACTATGCATACGAAAATTCCTAACGTAGTTACTATGGCAAAGATATGGGTGAACCAATGATGAGTATTGAGGAGTTCCGAAAACGATGAAAACTTCTACTGTCGACATTAAATTGGAGTTTGAAACCCGCAAAACGAAGTTTCCACCAAATACGAAGGTTTACGCAATCATTCTTCATGACGCATATCTATGGTTGGCTTATTCAGTGGTAAGGCTACATTTTGGTTCAGACAGATCAAAACACAAGTTGATAGTTAACGAACTCTGGTTATGAAATTGAAAAAGGATTTCTTGATGTCAGACTTTGATGATGAAGTGTGGAACCAAATAAAATCACGAAAACAAGCAAGAAATAAACCTGTAGTAATTTTCATAGCCTATATGGAAACATCATTCAGTAGACTCAGTCGTGGAGCCGCAGAGCTCACTAAAGTTGAATATATCAAAATGGGACTACAGGGTGAATACCTGAAAAGACTCGCACTTAGTGATATTGATAGTGTTTCTACCTCAAGTACACTTTGTAGAAAGCTTGAAGATCATACATTTTCAAGTTCTACAACTAACAATCAGAATTTTCGGAGGAATTTTCAACATCCAAAGCGAAATTTCAACAATAAGAAATTGGATAAGAATGTCAGTACAATTAAACAAGTTAATGTTACTAGTTCAAATGCGAACTCAAGTTCATCGGTGTTATGTTGGAGGTGTTCACAACCAACCATACTTCTCGGAACTGTAGAGCTACTGACAATATCATCAAGAAATTTTGTTTTAAATGCGGTTGTGCAAATGTAACTTCAAGGGAATGTACCAAATGTCAGGGAAACTAGTAAGGGAGGTGAAGTATTACGACTCTTGTTTCCCTTCATTATTTAAAAGAGTCATCCCAAGTTCAATATCAGATTTTTTCAATCCCAAGGAATGAAATGATTGAAAAAATACTGTTGGAGATTTTTATAAAAATTATGTTTTCCATAAAAATTTGAATGTCGCACCTCTTTTTGTACAGAAGTCACGTGCTCAGAAAGTAGTTCTTCTTCTGGACAGTGGTGCCAATGTTTCGGTTTGTGGTAAAAATCAGTAGATTTACTGAAAAAACTTAATCTGAAATGGAATAAATTCTTTTTGAAACATGTGACAACAGTTGATGGAACTGAACGAGAAGTCAAGGGGGTTGTTGATCTACCAGTTTGTATAGATAACATTGTTTAGGTTGTTCCTACTATAGTAGTGCCTTCACTGCCTCACTAAATAATTTTTGGAAGCGATTTTTGAAATCAGTTCATGAACAAGATCGACTTAAAAAATAGGATTTGGAATGTGCATAGTGCAGTAACGCATAATTCTATACAGTTTGTCTCTAGTCATGTTAATGAGATTGAAAATTCAGATTCAAGTAATTTGTCAGATTTATCTCCTTCAGAGAGTGTTCAAACAGAACATATTATAGAGCATTTTAAAGAATTTAGCAGTGAAAGTCGAATTGGTCTTACAGATGAAATTAAAATGACAATTGACATTGGAGATTCAGAGCCATTTCGAGTTAAGCAGTACCTTATGTCACCATCTATGTTGAGAATTTTGAAAAGAGAGCTTGATGACATGCTAGAGGTGGTTGAACCATCTCAGAGTCCCTATAATAGTCCAGTCCTTTTAGTAAAAAAGTCATTCCGTGAGTACAGGTTTTGTAATGACGGAAGAAAACTCAATGAAGTAACTAAGCACGATAGCTATGCACTACCTCGCATAGACAGCATTCTGAATTTGCTCAGAGATGCCAAATACATCCCAAGTATTGATCTACGTAAAGCTTTTTGGCAGATTTCGTTGGATGTGTCGTCACGTGAGAAAACTTCATTTAGTGTGTGCCTGGTAGGGGATCTTTTCAATTCACCGTCATGCCGTTTGGCTTATGTAATAGTGCTCAGACTCAGCAGAGGCTCTGTGACGCTCTATTTGGACCTAAGTTTGAACCACGTAGTTTCACATATCTGGATGATATAATTATTACTTCAAAAACTTTTGATGAATATGTATCACTTCTTGCTGAGGTGGAGAATTTTTTAGAAAATGCAAATTCAACAGTTAACATTAGGAAATGTGAATTTTTCAAAACATCCCTCAAGTATCTTGATTATGTTAATGATAAAGAAGGACTCCGTACAGATACTGATTAAGTAGCAGTCATGGTCGATTATTCTCGCCCTAGTACCAGTACTGAAATCAAACGTTTTATCGAAATGTGTTCATGGTATAGGAGATTCATTGCGAATTCTTCTAGCTTGATAGCACCTATCTCAGGCCTTCTCAAAGGGAAAAAGAAGGGGCAACCAATAACTTGGTCTCTAGAGGCGGAAGATGCTTTCATCCGTGTAAAAAAGGTTTTGATATTTACCTTTTGTAAAACAGTGTGATGCCAGTGATTATAGTATTGGATGTGTCTTGACTCAGTTTATTGATCCACAAGGAAGAGTTATAGCTTATGCTTCTCGTTCCTTATCTCGTGCAGAACGTAATTACACTGTGACCGAAAGAGAACTCAGTTTGATATTTTTGATAGATAAATTTCGACCTTTTTTTTATCGCACGAGAGGAAATCCCTATAATGTTCAAAGAACATCGTGCGTTCCTAGGGAGGATAGGGATAGGAGGTAGGTATTGGAATTTTTTTTCATTTTCTGGAGATTATATGTTGTTGGGAATACTTGCTCAGGCAATGAATTCCAGAGCCTAACCGTTCTATGGATGAAGGAGTTCTAATAAAGTGCTGTTCGACATCTTTCGAGGTTGACAACGAAAGGATGTGCTGACTGGGCTTGTCTAGTTCGTCTGACTGGTATTGCTAGTGGAGGGATGATAGCAGAGATTTCCGAAGCACATTTTCCGTGGAAGTATCGATAGAAAAGTGAAACGTCGCCGACCTTTTACGGTGTTCCAATGATGTCAAAGAGTGAGTGGGTGTGGCGTCACCCACGAGGCGGATGGCTTTTCTCTGGATGGAATCTAAGAGCACCAGCGTATGTTTTGGTGCTGAACCCCATATGTGGGAACAGTATTCTAGAACAGGCCGTATCTGCGCTTTGTAGATCATGAGAAGCTGTTGAGGTAGAAAGTAGCTTTTTGCACGTAACAAGAATCCGAGTTTTTGTGAAGCAGCTTTTGCGATGGATCTGACATGATTATCCCATGAAAGAGTGTTGCTGATGGAAATACCGAGCATAGATATGGTGGGCTTGGTGGAGATGGTGGTGTCAGATATTACAATGTCGTATTCGTTTTGAGACCAAGCAAAATTCGTCTGATAGTGCGTTGACGGAAGACGATTTCGGGCATTCTACTCTCAACCGGTGGAATGTCTGGCGGCACTTCTCCTTGGGATTCTAAAGTAAAGTTTGCTGCGAACATCTCTGCAAAAATATTTGCTTCCTCCTGCGATGTTGTTGCTAATGTGCCGTCGGATATAAACAGTGGAGGAAATGAACTATTAGTGGAATTTCTTCCGACCTCTTTAGCAAGGGACCAAAACGAACGGGAGCCATTAGGACAATCTATGAGTTCCGATCTTATCTTGGCATTGTATGTTTCTTTCGAAGCATCTATCGTTTGGCTGAAGTTATTCCTGGCATCAACGTATTCTGCTTATGTAGAAGGCACAAAATTGAAAGTAATCACTGACCACAGTAGCCTTTTGTGGATCAACAAACTCAAGGATCCTTGTGGAAGACTTGCTAGGTGGGCTGTAAAGCTCAAACAACATAATTTTGAACTAATACACAAGCCTGGAGCTTCAAATGTCTCACCTGATTTTCTGTCCAGAATTCCTCCTAGTGATTTGCCTGATGATAACCAAGAAATTTTGTTGATCGACATAAAGGACGAAATATCGGATGAATGGTAGGTACACTTCACTTAAGAGAAGAATTTTAGAGGAACCTGAACTGTTTCCACAATGGAAAGTTTCAGGAAATTTGCTTCTCAAATTTATTTCCTCAAAGGGCATTTTTAAAACTAATGAAAAAGAATGGAAGACCGTTGTTTCGAAGGAATGATGTTATTAAAAACTCTCATGATCCACCCACATGTTCACATTTTGGTTTTTACAAAACTTTTAGTAAAATTCAGGAAAATTATTATTGGCCAAAGATGCGCCGTGATATTTTGAGATACATTCGTCAATGTGAAGTTTGTCAATCACAAAAGTAAGCTTACACCTCACGTTTAGGTTTAATGGGCTGTGAAAAGCAGGTGAACTTTCTTTTTCAAGTCCTTGCTGTCGATCTTATGGGACCATTTCCTCGATCACCCCGTGGATTCACATATTCACTTGTAATTGGAGACTGGTTCTCAAAATATATCATTCTATATCCCCTAAGAGACGCGACAGCACCAAACATAGTTGAATTTCTAAAAAATCAAGTGTTTTTAGTATACGGTGTACCACAGATTATCATTGCGGACAATGGTACCTGATTTGCAGGGAAAATCTTTAAAAAGTTAACAGATACGTATAAAGTCAAAATTTGGTTTACTCAGCGCAGTGTACTTTTGTTGAACGTAATAACAAGACAGTTGGACAAGCAAAACGTAGCTATATAGTTGAACATGAGGATTGGGACAAGGAGTTAT